GTGTGTCGCAGGATACCCTCTAGGTAATAGTTCTTGATTACTTTTTGATAAATAATTCGTTCTTATTGCGAAATAGGAGCACTATTTATCAATCTATAATAAAAGACGTGAGGAAATTTTGTCTTTTTTAAAGACAAACATTTTTGAGGCGAAATACCCAAAAAGAGGTTTTGTAAAAAAATGAATCCGCCTCAACAATATAGAACTTATCTATTTTGCAAATATCTACAACATTAAAAATGCGTGTTTGTTTCAGGGAGTCGGTTCGGCATTCGCAGACACCTCAGGACTAGCAATGATCGCCGATCGTTTCACAGAAGAAAACGAACGTTCGAAGGCACTGGGCATCGCTTTGGCGTTTATCAGCTTCGGTTGCTTGGTAGCACCACCATTCGGAGGCGCTCTCTATCAATTCGCCGGCAAAGAAATGCCCTTTCTCATCCTTGCGTTTGTTTCCCTCCTCGACGGGTTTATGCTGCTCATTGTCATGAAACCGATAAAAGAGCAACTGAAAGAAGCGGCAGTGGTAAAGCCACCGTCGGTGCCCATTTGGAAACTGTTTATGGATCCGTATATTGCTGTATGTTCGGGAGCGCTGATGATGGCCAATGTTGCACTGGCATTTTTGGAACCGACAATTTCCATGTGGATGGAAGACAATCTCACTACGGACAACTGGAAAATCGGAATGGTTTGGTTGCCTGCTTTTATACCGCACGTCATTGGCGTGGTGATAACGGTGAAAATAGCGAAAAAATACCCGCACTACCAGTGGCTAATGGCCGCCGTAGGTCTGGCCTTGGAAGGTCTTTGTTGCTTCATAATACCATTTTCAACCAGCTATGTAATGCTGATGATTCCGCTTTGCGGAATATGTTTCGGGGTTGCTTTAATCGACACGGCCATTCTGCCCACGCTAGGATACCTTGTAGACGTTCGATACGTCTCAGTATACGGAAGCATCTATGCGATAGCAGACATATCATACTCAGTAGCTTACGCTATAGGGCCGATCATAGCAGGCGGAGTGGTCGAAGCCATCGGATTTACCGCATTAAACATAGGCATAGCCCTAACAAATCTCGCTTACGTGCCAGTACTTTCCTATCTAAAACACATCTACGACTTCAAACCATTCGAGAATGAAGCCAATATATTGATGTCAGATCCACCGAACAAAGAATACCAAACCTATTCGCTGCAAGAGCACAAAACGGTTGACGAAGATGTTCAAAACCATCTGAACTACAAGCAGCAAGAGACCAATTTTAACAGCTTCGAACCGAATTATGAAACACAAACATATCAGAGCGGTTATCAGCCGCAAGGCAATCAAAACTTCCAGCAGCCAGTAGCCGCATTTGCGGATCAGAACCAGTCCTATCAAAACCAAACATACCAAGGACCTCAAGTACCCACAAGACCTCAAACCCAAGGTCGGGTATTACCACAGCAACCCGTAGCCAATCCCTTTCGACAACCAGCACCAGCACCTTTGTCCACGGGGGGCAATCCTTTCAGGCAAGGTTTGTAAATCCCATTGGAGGTATGTACGTACTTGTAGCCTTAGGTTATCATTTGTATAAACTGCTTCGTCAGTTTAAAGTTGGGAAGCGGATAGCACAGAAAAATTGTGGAGATTCGAAGATATATTTAGTACGGTAATTTTAGTCGTTATTTGTGATCAACGCGTTTAACAAAGAAGATGTTTACATTGTTTAATGTTTTGCCTGAGGACAACCAATGGGAAAATGGAATTCAACTTTTGGGTACATAAATAATTTTAAGCGGATCGCGTTTAAAAATTACTTTGAACATCAGATTAAAGAGATGCATTTCTCATGCGTAACGGTAGCTAATAATGTAATTTGAATTAAATTGTATATACTTTCCTGACTGTTTCAATTCCAAATCAAATTCATTCCTGGGTTTCAGTCATTTATTGTCTCTATTTATCAATCAAAATACGTTTCGGTGTATTTTTGCACCATCATCAGTTTTTATGTGTAGCGTTGTTGTTGCTTTAAGCCTTGGCATGCATTTTTTGCAAAATGCATGTCTAGGAAAAATACACCGAAACGTATTTTGTTTGATAAATAGAGACAATAAATGAATTAATTTGATTTGGATTTGAATTAAATTTGTTTAGTTTGTATTAAACAACAAGCTAATGTCGCTAAAATATATCGGCATTTAAATTTAAACTCCCAAAATTTTTAAGAGTTTAAGGTTGTAATTACAAGAACGTATAATAAAATTTTCAAAATAACAACACGGCAAATGGGTAAAATATTTGGTAGCAGACTTAGAGTAAAGTAAAAGGAACTCGTTGGACTCGTGAATTTGGCAATTTCTGGGTGGGTTTATTATATTTTAGAATTAAATCTATCTTCCCAAGCATGTTTTCAGCTGCTTAGACCCGGAAGTTAACTTTGTGAGCGAAACTTCTCAATCTACCATTACTTGAAAATTTTGGAGCATCACCCAATATTCCTTGTGGGTAATTGAACTGAGTACAGAAAATTGAGACAAAATGGAAAGTCCACGTTTTCGTAGGTTTTCATTTTTTTTTCAATTTAGTCTAATTTTTAATAGAGTGTCAAATTTCGATAAAAACCTTGCTCTAGGCTAAAAAAATGTCAATGACTTATTAAAAAATATGCATTTACAGAAAAACCTAGTTTAAATAAATTGAACCCATTGAAAACTAAAACAGTATAATTTTTTTACGATAAATCGCGTATGATGTGAGCAAATTAAGAGGGTTCTGTTTAAATAGGACTAAGCGGAAAAGAGGACATTTAATATCTGTAAAAGTTTTAAAAATGCCGATGCAAAATTGCTGAAACCATCTTGCATTTAGGAAAAGAAGTGTTAAATGACGCAAATTTACACCGAAAAAAATTCGTTTGTTGGATGATAATATTATAATAATTATAATTCAACACTAGCAAATTCTTCTCGATTAAACCATGCCTATACTAAAGGTATCATATTGTTGATATAGCCAGAGAAGTGCCTCAAAACGGTTGATTTTGTAGCTTTGTTACTACATAATTTTTCAGAAAGAACCCAATGTGTTACCTCTTAGAGTAACGACTCAGAGTGAGTACCACTATATTTACGGCATATATAGAAGGCCAAAATTCCTTAACTTTCTAACGATCATCTTTGAACATTGGCAAGGCAAAAGACTTCAAAGTCACGCACTATACATGATAAGTAATTGTTTAACGAGTTCTTTAGTAGTACATGTTCTGTGTCGCATTTTTTCCTCTTTGTATCAAATATAACTCATTTTCTTTTATGTTTCATTATGGCATCTGCTTTCTCCATACAATTGAATGACACTCTGATAACACGAACGACTTTGGATAACACCAAGTCGGTACACAAGTGGAATGCGTTTTGAATTTCGAAAGTACACCAAAAGTTGATACCTATAAGTACCTATATTTTGTCTCGCAAATTTCCTGAAAACTGATGTTTCCGATTTTTTAATGTTAGTTTTCACTCTATTTTTTTTAACTTTGAAAATAACGCACTTTTGTGCTAAAATAAATCAAATATTATGAAAGGTTTTCCTAAACTGAATTCTAAATTTGATTTGAACCATAATTAACAGGAATGTAAAAAAATTACGTACGCTATATTAACACTAAAGTCTATGAGCTCCTTATTCTCATTAAATTTTCATATAGTGTGAATGAAGCAATTTTAGGGAACTAAATCAGCGCACACTGAAAGCACGAATTTTTGCCTTATTTCCACATGCAAAAAAATTAATTCAGAGTGAAGAATGCAGTGATTTCACAGCTATGGAAGAAGTCAGGGCACCAATGCTTATAGATTTGAAGAAAAAACCAAAAATTTCATATTACTTTGATAAAATAGAGAACGTTACTCTCGGCTAAACAATTTAATTCATTTAAATATTAAAGTAGAAATTAAGCCCTTCATTCGGAAATTAACTCGCGTTTTTTAAAGTAGCATACTTAATTAATAATAAAATCAGGGTATTTATCAGGGAAATAATATTTCGAATCTAAAGGAACCATTCTATTTCTACATATTACCAAAATTCCTTATAATCTGCATCAAGAATCATTTAAGACACATAAACTCTGATATCTTATGGAATGTGGCTTGATGTAGAAAAACTAAACTCTACTAAAAGAAAAAATATGTAGGTATACTAATCTGATTAAATAGCAATAATTGTAAAAGGTATACAACAGTAGGACAACGAAGATTCTCAAGTGAAAATCTTCTATATTGATACGAACTCAAATGTGCACTTTGATAAATATGTTATCATGTACGAAAAGCCGTCCAACTACGATAGTAACATTCTTTTATTTCTTAATTTAAATTGTTTAACAATATTTTACAAAACGTTTAAAACCCAATTTAAAGTGGCAAATTATCTACAAAAGAGTTTCTTACTGATCTATTAAAAGAAACTTATTTAAAAAAGTTATACACGAAAACCATCAATAATTGTTGAAAACTACACATCTTTTAAATCAGAAACATCAGACTAAATGATATTCAAGTTATTCAGCCAATTTACTTCTTTCGGTTCCAAGTACTAATTTAGGCGGATTTTCTCAAAATTATCAAAGCAAATTAATCCCAATTTTCACACATACTATAGACGCAGCGCAGTTTCAATTTAAAACCTGAAAACCGAGCGCATATGGGAAATATTGAAACTCGACAATTTTTATTCTACTGTTTGAATAGAAATTGCAGCCGAATGTGTTACAAGTTACGATACACGTTACATCTATAGTACGCTTGACAAGAAATTCATGAATCAGTTTAATTTCGTTCTATAAATATGTAATATATTTATATTATACTGCTTATGTATAAATAGTGTTTAAGAATAGTTTAAGAATAGAATAAACACTTTTGTTTATATGGTATTATTTTCGACTATTTTCTATATATAAGAAAATATATCAACTGAGATCACATACATATCAGAACCGCATGGTTCACCTCTTAAACATATCGTGATAATAGACTTAAGATAAATTAAGAAAAGTTTAGGTGTTGGTAGATTATATGGGGCGTCCATTTTTCTCATCGATATAAATTTGCATAGAGGCATAGGTAAAATAGGTTATAGGGAATATTATGAAGGGATTTCGAACATTTTTTTCTAAACGTTTTAAATGTTATTGATGACTAGATAAAACCTAATTGCCCCCTGAAAGCACACCGAGAATTTGTCTATTGAACTATTTTGAATATTTTATTTTTCTGAAGAAATCTACAATAGAGATGCGTACTTTCTACGTTGCAGATGAATTCAATTGAATATACCAAGCGTCAATGCGATAAATTTAAATTGTCTTAGAGTAGAAGTAAATAATTACGTCTTATAAAATTAATTAGAACTAAAATCAATTAAACACCTTAACGCATATCATTATAAGTGTACCTTATATAATCTGGGACAACGTAGTGCAATTATTAAATAGTATAGGTAAGCATATTTGCTTTCTATACAAATATTATGTCTTAACGTAATGGAGAAGAAAATAAATGAATTTTTCTCGTGGAAACATTAATTAAGGTCTGAATTCCTGGCTATACTTCCAAGGCATTCGCGGAAAGCACAAATTTCGTACTGTAATAGGTCAGAAATGTACACAGTGTCCATTAATTTTAAACAATATTGCATACTAATAAATTTGAACTATCAAATTGAATTAAAATAGTCCATAAGTTTCTCCTGAAAAGATTTTTTGACATGAGCGCATAAAGGACACAAACAGTTTTGTTTTGTGTTGTAAATAGTCAATAATTTTGTTGATTCATTAATAACGTAGTTCTTAGTGTTGTGTTCAAATGGTATACAAAACCCACAGTCAGTCGTAAGGGACCGAATCACGTCGAAATCACTATATTTATCAGTTTCTCTAAGAACAACTAAAGTGGTTTTATCAAAACTTTACAGTTTAAGCTCCTTTCGTATTGTGGCACAGAAATTTAAAATAGTTGACCATTTAAAAGATCCATGAGTATACAGGAAGCGAATTTTTATGTAAATTTAGCCCAACTTTTGCAATTTTGTTAAATCACTTTATTTCTACCAGAAAATATGTGGCCAAATTTGAAAATACGTTTAATGGATATCCTGTGTATCTTATAACGACATAATATCTAAATATATTTCAGCTCCTGGTAGAAAACAGGACTTCCATACATAGTTATACATTATCACATTTTCGAGCTATTGCAGTAATTGATGCCCATAAAGTTACTGGAGACTTTTAAATTAAGTAAAGAGAGTAATTGGAAACTTATAAAATGGTATCAGTAACTGTTTCCAGTTGCATTTGATACGACAAATACCAAGTATTTTAGATGTTTACACATAGCAATATTCTATGAAAAATGGACGCCTAAATAGGTGTAAAATTGTCTAAGTCACAATTCTAGCCCGCTATCACCCCGTCTATAAAACATTCTTCTTGTATCATGTAATGATGTCCTAATGTTGCTTAAGTTTTTCCATTCGATCTAGTCGGCAGATGTTAGATTTCATCGCAAGTTCATTTCCAAATATTAAATTTTTTGTTAAATATTAACCATTATTTTAAATACTTTAATCTTTGTCATTAAAACAGTATCAAGACTCTTAGTGTCAATTTAACAGTACATACTTTATGCACAATGGATGTAAAGGAAACATATCTAATTTTGCCTCTATATTATAATATACATGCATATTTCTAATATACAACGTGTAAAGTAAATTAGCAAGAGATTATTATCAGAAGCTGATTATCATATGTAAGTTTATTAAATTTAATAACGTAAGGTGTAATATTAACTTTTGCTCATCTTACTAATTTAGGCAAGTACGGTCATAGGATTTAGCTTCGTTAAAATACACATACAAGGCGAATTT